TCCCTTCCTCATTCTCCACCAGCTTCTCCCCCTTCTCCTTCTCCACCAGCTTTTCCCTTCTTCCCTTCCTAATACTTCACTAGCTTCTCCCTACTCCACCTACTAGTACTACTCTAAACTTCCTCCTCCCTCCCCCTCTTTACACTGCTCCTTCGCTAACCTGTACCAAGAACTACGAGAGTGCTGACGAGTTGTTTACTGATACGCCCCGAACGCCGATAGACCGTAGCGCCATCTGGCGTGGCGTTTGCAAGTTATTTACGCGGACGCTAAACATGATGTTTAGCTTTGTGTTTAGTCTCTGGTGTATGCGCAGAAGAAACTCGGAAACTAAGAAACTCAGAAACTCGGAAACTCAGAAACTCGAAAACTCGGAAACTCAAAAAGTCGTTTCAGGGGCAAAGGACAGAAAGATGCGATATGATACGACTACTAGGCACTTTAATTTAATTTAAATTTTTTTTTAGGGTTAGGGTTAGGGTTTAGGTTAGGTTTAGGTTAGGTTAGGGATAGAGTTAGGGTTTTTTTTTTAAGTGCCTAGTAGTCATATCCTAAGTGCCTAGTAGTCATATCATATCGCATCTAACGGCCGGGTGCATTATCCTGAGTGTGGGAAGGGGGCGCTGCATGCAGTTTGATAATACATATGCATGATTATATTACATTGGTTCGTGTATGATTAATTATATATTAAGCTCATCCTAAGCGAACATTAAAAATTAAGCTAGCTTGTCACGATACATTATTCAAACAAATAAAAAACATATTTTAACAAATGCCTAACAAAATCTGCTAAGAAATTCTGATAGTCTCTACCGTTTACTCTTTACGCCGAGAGATGGCAGCCCTTGCACGAGAAATAGCGTGGAAAGTTCGTGAAGGAAAGTCCACAGTCAGTCAAATAGGGTTGCGAATTTTGACTTCAATCATCTTCCTTTGTTTGTCACTAAGTTAAGAAAACACTAAAACTTTCAGGTATTTATAGCCCTCAATGAAACTAAACATGCAGTATTATTAATCGTAATAGTGCCCCGACTCGCTGCTTTTTCAGTTTGTGGCTGGTGTGACCGGTCGGGGTCTTTCTGTCGCCGCAACGCCAACGACACCTTACACGGTGACGGTGTACTTATTTTCATTAGAAAGCGTTCCATATAGCCTTACCACACTGTAATGTTATTAATGATATGTTAATTAAATGAGATTAGTGGTATGAGTTATTCTAGGTAAAACCATGCAGTGCAGACACTGCAGAGACAGTGTTACTGAATAGTGAATAGTGTGGCCCAAGGAAGGATAGAGAACATGGGTCCCAATAAAACCAATGTGCCTAACCCTAACCCTAACCCTAATTCTAACCCTAACCCTAACCCTAACCTAACCTAACTAACCTAACAATAACCCTAACCATACCTAACTTATGATATTGATATAATATTATATTTATCCTTGAACCAATACTGTGGCAATAGCGATAGGGCCACAGGGGTAGCCCGACCAGGCTGTGCGACGGATTGTCTATACAGCCTGACACCCCTTCCATACAAAAAACCTATCACCTCTGCAGATCTAGATGAATAACTCTGTATTCTCAAATAAAACTATTCCATTACCACCTGTTGACTTGCTTGATTAAAATATGAACGTTAACTCACAGTTGTCCTGCTTCTAAACTAGAATGTATCTCTTAATTCACGGTATAATCTGCTAATTCTCACAGCATATCAACTCTTCCAAATCAGCTTTAACCGCCATGTTTAGCAAGGCACGGAAAACCCGAAAGGAATAGACTCGCTAGAAAAATACTACAGAAATATGTACGATGGCTCTCAAGGCAATTACACACCAAAGCAAGTGAAACGATGCTTCAGAATGTCTGGGCGGCCATTTGTAAAAAACCTTAGATGACATGTTCTCGATGTAGGGGTGGTTTACATGACGACCGCAGATGTTTAATTTCCTTTGTTCGATCCATTGCGGATTTTTAGTCACAGTGGAATGATAGCAAACATGGTGGCAAATTCATAAATTTGGTTGCATTCGTCTCAAAAAGTTGCTGTAACCCGTAAGTACCCAGCGCATCCGTAGCGCACTGATGGTTACAGAAGGTGACGTTTACTGATTCATTTGGTATATCACATGTGTGGTGTTCTTTGGCGATACTTGGAATATAAGGCACTACGTGTTTAGCTGCAGCCTGTGTTCGAAACGGTATTCTAACCCTAGCAATACCGTTTCTTGGAGCTATTACAGGGGTAGAAATTAACTTTGGCAAGTTTTGAACAAGGGAGGCCAACGGACTCCCTGCCCTCAAAAGGAGGGAGTCCGCAGCAAAATGAGGTAGTCCGCAGTCTGAAATTCAAAACTAAAGCAGAACAATAAAAACACATGTGCTTTATTTTGAAGATTCATGCGATGCACGTCTACCAAATTTTCTTTGGATATTTGCTGAAAAAATACGGTAATTCCGTGAGGCCGTGCTCTGGAATGAACTAGTTAGTATAGCAGAATTTTCAGGAAGTTGCACGGATTCCTGTATATGTCAAATCAGGGAGTCCGACAGTAAATCGGGGAGTATTTGACTCCGGACTCTTGTTAATTTCGCACCCTGGTGTTAGGCGGCCCAAACTAGGGCTTATAGGTAGGTAGGAATTGTGCCGACTAGACAATAGCAGTCACAAGCCCCAGGGCGAATGTCAGCAAAACGGAACCAGTCAAACTTTGTATCATTACTATACTAGGTATACTCAGAATTTCTAGATAAACCAGTTCTAAGCCTATGTAGCATAAATACCATCAACCAGCACATGTCAGTGATAACTGAATCGTCAAGATTCAAGATTGGTTAAGAGCTTAATTCATCTGAGTCAAATCTCCAAAATTCCTCGTTATGGATTTTATTCCGCAATTGTAAAGAAATATAAGCTCTATACACCTATATAAGTTAACTGCGTAAGGTGAAAGGTAGATACAATAATGTAACCTAACAAGAGTAGGGGTTGGGGCAATAATGTAACCCAACCCTACTCTTGTTGGGTTACATTATTGTATCTAGGTGAAAGGGAATGCTGATTGCTATATAAATGAACTGTTTACTGCAATGTCACGTGTAAGACAGCTTTGCATGTTTAGGTAGCTGATATTAGTTTTATTACTATTAGCTCTAAAGCAAGTGATTGATGTATAGTATCAGTGACAGCACCGAAATTTACAGAGCAATTTTTCTCATTTTAGGTCAAATTAATGATGGTTCTGCTGTACCTATACCTCCCTGAAAATTATTATACTGATACAAATGCTTTCAAAGAGTACATTTCTGAAGAAAAATCACTTCGAAGTGATACCAATTATTTTATATTTATAACAGTCATTTATTTTTGAGAAAATTGGAATTTTTACAGTTCAGTGTGCCTTTTTTTTAAATAAGTATTATTTCTGGGTCAAATTAATGAAGAGTGTTTCACTGTTGCTAGATATCTCAAATTTAATATAATAATGCGCAAGAATACATAGTATGTGAATAGGTGGAGTACATACATGTGAAATATATAAGTAATTGTATATGGACATCAAATTTTGGGGAGAAATGCGAAATTATCAAAAATCTAAAATTTATTAAATGATCGAAATAGTTTCAATACTCGTAGAGCTCTGCCAGAATTTGGCATACTCGTGCGCAACAACACACAGTATGTAAATATGAAGAGTAATTATATGTAAATTTTATTACTCTAATTATACACAGAAGTAAATTTGTGAAATAAATGTTAATTCTCACACTATGCAGTGCTCAATTTTAAGGTTTTTTTTGGGTTGTTCGGAGGACAACCAAGAGAGTAGCATATGGTTGTCCCTCAAGAGTTTTGGTTGTCCGGATATTATTTAAACATGTGCTGCATGCGCTCTGCTCACGTGATGCTCAGTGCTGTAAAGCAAAAGGCCTAATCATGTACATTTTGTACGTATTGCAGTGACAGCAGACATGGCCATTCGCATTGTTTCACTCATTATATGAAGAGAATAAAATATTAGTAATGTGGTAAATGATGCTGGGATCAATGACGTATAATAATAGTAATTAAAAGTTGCATGAAATTTATTTCATAACATTTACATTAAGTTAACTAACACTACAAACATTACTAACATTACTAACACTGTGTCAAGTCACAGATGAGTAAAAATACTAAAAATTAAAAATTAACAGGAAACATTAGGCGTGTTCACACACAAGAAAAACCGCGATGCTAATCGCGATGAAATATCGAGATAATTGTGTCGTTGTTCACACAGGCGAATAATCGCGCTAATCGCCGAGCGGGATAATTCTATTGATCGAACTGCGCATGCTCACTGCCGGAATGATGCTCACTGCGCATGCTCACTGCTCACTCGCTTGGAATGATGGGATAGAAAATACTGGGATTATTTGCGCGAGCGTTCACACACGCAAATAATCGCGCTAATTCCAAATAATCGCAGTCAAAAGTGCGATTTGGAGCGCGATGCTGATCGCGATTATTAGTGAGTATTATTGCGTTCACACTTGTAATAATCTCGGTATTTCGATCGCGATGCAAAAACCGGGATTTGCATCCCGCTTATTCGCGCCAGTGTGAACGCGCCTATTGTGTTGTTAAACACGTGATGTTATACTTTGTATCGAGCAAGCCAGATAATGCGTCTAGACATGTACGTTTGCAGCGTATTGTGCAACCCTGGCCATGTAAAATGAAAGTGCATTATGAATATAAAAATTTTATAGAGGTTGGACACCGGACAACCACAGAAGCAATTTGTAGTTGCCGGAGAGAAAATCCAGTCGTCACGGACGACCGGACGACTGTTAAAATTGAGCCCTGCTATTGAACCAATTATCCAATTTTTAATGAAAAACCTTTACCCGGGTTGGTTCTCATACATCTGTCTACCACATGAAGTGGATGATTTGTCATAAACATTATTTAGAAATAATGCATGCCAAATAAATAATTTGTTAAAACTTTCATGTTTTTTGACAGTCCTTGCAATGTTGTTACTAACATTGCCCTTGGAAGTTTGAATAACCGTATCTAAACGATAGAATAATGTTGAATTATTATCGTACTCGTCCTTATAGTATAACTGTATTGTCAAATGTTTTTGAACTGCTGCCCAAATTGAGAGCAGGCAGCAAACTGACCATTGTAGGCAGCAAAGCTGCTGCTTGCTGAGCTTGATTTAAAGCCATAGATAGATAGATAGACAGACACACAGCCAGACAGAGAGAACAGACAGACAGACAGATGCACGTGTTAATCTGTTATCTGATGTGGTTTGTTGCACACAGGATGGCTGAACCGTTGCCACCGACCAAGCTGAAGGAGCTGAAAGACTTCATCACAGCGGTTGGGCTACAGCCAGCGATACTTCATGCTCCTCAGCTTGCATTCTTCAAGGACTACCTTCTTAGGTGTGTGTGTGTACCTGTCCGTCTCAAAGTGGTATATGAGGTAGATGTTGGTTGTCACTTTTCTAGAAAAATAAAAGTGACAGTTTTTATTTAATTTGCACATATTATGGTTGCCTAATTTAGTGCTAGTGCGATTAGCTTACTGATCACAGTGGAAAGTATAGTTAGTTGTTTGATCGGTACTATACTCTTAAATGATTAATATTGTAATCTGACTGACCTGAAAAAAAATCAGTGAGTGGAAAAAGCCTGCTGTGACCAGTTAATTATTCATGTTTTATCATTTATACTTCATTTGTATGTGTAATGAGGAATTGTTTTACTATTTGCTAACCTGACACATCTATGAATTTCTGGGTCTATCTTGTTCGAAGAAGGGATCTTTTTTAGTTTGGTTGGTGGTCTGGGTCTCAATCCTACATCTTTTTAAAGGAATGCATTGCAACGCAGCGTTTGCCAAACTGAATACGCAGAAGTTAATGAGTCAACAGAGTGTGAATTATATGCTGCCATTGGCTATTTTAGAAGCTGCAACAATATTTTGTAACTTCCATTCTCTTTTTTTTCTTATCAGTATGGGAGCAACTATTCCAGCGCCACCTAGTGAGGTATGTATGTCACGATATCTTGAGTTTGTTGTGTATTCATTTACTCCAATATGAAAACATTGTGCTTTAATTCTAAGGGAAATTAAGTTCTACTAATGATAGAGTAATGATTCATTACTCATTGATATTCTACACTCATGGGCTGGCTCACTATGAGTTGGCTGAATTGTTTCGTTTATCGAGCACAAACAATCGTACAAGCAATATTCATAGTCATATATAAACTAAAAGTGCCCACAACACTATTAAGCGGCACTCTGCATTCTCTACCACGTTCCTTCATACTTTGCGGTACAGCCCTACAGTAGAACGAAAGGCTAGACTGGTAATGCCAGTGTTGAGGGTATTGTTAAATTGACTACGTCACAAATTTTCTATGCTGTATATTTGTACAAAAAATTGTTGCAATTTTTTTACAGGAAAAGTAAGGACTAACGGCACTAAATGAATCCTCATATTCTTACCTGATAAGATTGTTTTTCAACTAGTTAAAGAGCCAAAAAAATCTGGACGATTTGATATATTGATCACGACATTAAATGCTTGCTATGGGCTATGAATGAGTCACAAGTGTTTGCTAATTCACATCGAACGGAATAGCAAAATATGAAGTATAATGCAGCAATTTAACCATAATAAGTGAACAGAATCACTTGCATTTTGAGAAAAAGTTGGCATAATTTTTTTACGTTTACTATTTACGGTGACGTCAGGGTGAAAAACTGATAATTGGAGGCACTGGTCCAGCAGGACCAGTGCCTCTGAGGAAGTACTGGTCCTGGTCAGTAGGCACTGGTCCAGGATTTCTGTCATAGCAAAGGCAGTGACTCGGATGTGGGGACGTTTTTATAGGGGGGGGGGGATGGTGCAATTTGGTGATGTGCATTCTAAGGTATTCTTAAAAATTATATTTTTTACACGTTTCGATACACTGATGCGTAGTAAATCGGAACAAGTCCAAAGATCAATCTCAAAAATCAATCAAATCAATCAAAGATCAAAAATCAACGATCAAAACATCAAAGATCAGCAGAAACATCTGAAGACCGCCAATTATTCCTATAAATTATCATATTTTATTACAGGCGATCTTATTTATCTGATCTGATCCGATTTTATTACCAGTATTATGGAATTAGCAGAGGTTTAACAGCATGACCTAGAAAATCGAACACAACAAACATGGAGAGTTTGTGTACTTCGCATGAACTTTAGGCTTCGGAATTTGACTATTTTTAGTCTATATTTGATTAAATTTACCATTGATTTCATTAGAATAATGTAAAAGGTTAGTAGAGAATAACAAAATAATCAGCTAGGCCACAATTAAACGATTTTTTGTTTGCCCTCACCCGACCCAGGCTGAAAAGTGGTTGGCTTTTTTTTGAGGGGGGTCTTTTTACAAATTCAGCAATGGTGTCTACGTGCTTAGGTGTGCTTCTGTGGAGATACCTTTTATGTTTGCCTACACATTTATATAATGTACATTGTACAGTGATACAATATACATATAAAATACTTGTGTTTATCAGAGCTAAATTGAGCATGATTTTATTTCCAGATCACGCACGCACGCACGCACACATACACGTAATGTGGAAATAAAAGCATTACAAATAAAAGGAACTTGAATTAAGAAATAATAAATATCTTCTTAGCACATATTAGTCTTTGGAAAGGAAAATAAAGTTAATCTGTCAGAGTTAGATCCATAATTAAGTTATTTAATATCTAAATTATAATATAGCGATTTCCAGGATTCCAGGAAAGTTTTGCTGTCCAAGTTTTGGAATCCAGCGATTCCAGGAAAGTTTTGCTGTCGCGCTCTCATACCAGCGGTGCCCGGCCACCCCCTACATATGTAATAATGAACATGCACCCTGGCACGCAGCTGAAAGTGAAACAATCAATAATGCACTCGTCCCTCCCCCCTACTTCAATCAGTGCCGCCCAGCCAGCAGGCACGTACGCAGGCTGTGCATAGCTCTAGTACTATAGCCCGCGTACAGTTGCCGCAGGCCTGCCACATACGGAAACTTTAAAAAAAAAAATCGGAAAGGTCAATACAAATGTTTGTGTCGGCCCCTTTTTGGCGGGTCGGTCGGGTGAGGGCAAACAAACAAAATTTTATTATGGCCTCAGTTTGGTAAATTTTTTATTTCCTGTGGAGCGATTATGTAGTCGCCCCGCCGGACCAGCTGACACGAGCAAGCAGTCGCCCGGTCAATTTTCTAATCGCCACTGGCGACTGGGCGACCGCTAGTTTCTCACGCTGGACGTAATCACTTTAATAGTATCATGTATATTCAATGACTACAGGCACCTAAGAAGCCTGAAGAAAAGCCGCAGCCTGCACCCGAGCCCCAGCCAGAGTCCACACCGGAGCCGGACCCAGAGAGCGAGAGTGAGGAGAGTGAGTTAGGTGAGTAGCAATGTGTGACTTGTCTTTCGCGTCGACATCAGCATGATGAGCCATTGTGCATTCTGCCTCCATCACGTGTCGTTGGCCTGTCGTCGTGGCAATGAATTGTTCTCCTATTGGACAGTTGTTGCGCGAGGACGAGAGTGTGGCGGCTGCTGCCACCAATCGTACCCAAAAAGAAAACTACCTACCCAGCTTCCCTATGTACCTAAGTTTGTCCGTGTTCCCGCCAAGATTCTGTGTGACTCCCTGATTTGAAAAGTTTAGTTCTACCTCTCAAACGTATGCGATATGGTGGCGTTCTTGCAATCGAGCCATAGGCATAGGAAGAAAGAGAGTGAGTTTGCATAAAGATAAGTTTATCTCAGTTAGATCCATAATGAGTTATAATTACTTACAACGAGAAAGTTTCGTCCATCTCTCCGATAGACTTCCTCAGGTCTGAGCCTTCCTCAGGAGAGATGGACGAAAATTTCGTCGGTGTAAGTAATTATAACTTATTATGGATCTAACTGAGATAAACCTACTTTTACGTGAACTATTGCCCCAGTCACACATACACGACGCACGGCCCGCACACTGAAAATTAATCAAAAAATGGAAAATAGATCAGTGCGTCGTTGTGCGCCCAACTTTTGTCAGGATTTGGGAGAAGCTAGCGAGTTGACAACGAATGCACAGTGTGTTGCTAGCGCGCTGCGCGTATACAGGGCGCATACAGAGCGTATACAGGGCGCACATGTTAAAAAATCCAACGAATGCACAGCGTGTTGCTAGCGCGCTGCGCGTATACAGGGCGCATACAGAGCGTATACAGGGCGCACATGTTAAAAAATCCAACGAATGCACAGCGTGTTGCTAGCGCGCTGCGCGTATACAGGGCGCATACAGAGCGTATACAGGGCGCACATGTTAAAAAATCCAACGAATGCACAGCGTGTTGCTAGCGCGCTGCGCGTATACAGGGCGCATACAGAGCGTATACAGGGCGCACATGTTAAAAAATCCAACGAATGCACAGCGTGTTGCTAGCGCGCTGCGCGTATACAGGGCGCATACAGAGCGTATACAGGGCGCACATGTTAAAAAATCCAACGAATGCACAGCGTGTT